CCTCCTGTGGGATGCTCCATCTGCTCCAGCATCACAGCGTTGACGAGCCTCCTGGTACCTTGAGATATGTAGAAAAAACATTTAAAGCTGTGTCTATGTCGGAATCATTGAATCTTTCTGAATCTCTCCAAATCGATTTGGAGGGTTCTGATTCGATTCAGAGAGATTAAAGGGTCTCCCAATTTGATGCAGATTTGAAGATTTGGCCGATGAATTGAGCTGAATCTCTGCTGAATCAAATCAGCAACTAAAGCTTTGCACAGCCCTAGCGACCACATCACCCCTGGATCCACCCCTGCCATGGAATAACTAACTTCCAAGTCAGTAGTTTTACAGTTCTGACTCACTCACGTCCCCAACTACATTGAGCTTAGAGTATTGTGGAACTTGAATTGGAGATTTTGGGTGTGGAAGAGAATCAAAGTCAGAGACAAATTTAAAGAATAATGAGCCAACTCTGTAGCAAGACAAGCCCACAGCATGGCCTCTGTCCTGAACAGCTTACAAACTGAACAGGCAAGGCCTACAATGGGAGGGGAAGGGACTTGTCTAAAACTACAGAGGAAGCCAGTGACAAAACTTGGGAAAGAGTCTTGTCCTCTAGCATTCCAGTCCAGTGCCCTGCATATGGATGAGACCTCTCTTATGTCTGAGAAAACCAGGAAAAGCCTGTCCTCAGGAGTGCTGTCTGTTGATGAAGCTTTCAACCACTGCAGCTGGGAAGCATTAGGTCTAATGAGGCTGAAGGTACTGAAGATACACATCTATGCTCCTCTGATGGGAATGGAATCTAACATGGACAGGGATTCATGTAAAAACCCACAAGCTTTGGAAAACTCCTTGAGATTAGGGACCCCATTTACTCCTGATTTAGAAGGATGCACCAACTGGGGAAGGAAGTAAGGAAATGTGTCCATCCCCAAAAGCAGGCAAAACGTTTCTACGATTGCCCTCCTGTGAGAGAAGACAGTGGCAAGGTAGGAATTGTGCATCCCTGCGGAGCACGTATGTACTGGGGGGGTTGGTATATGTATATGGTGTGTTGGGGGGGTCCTTCTGAGGGGAGCAAAGAGTTGTGTCTGGTGTGTGGGAGGGTGTGTGGCTGGGGTGTGGGGGTTGGAGTGTTTGTGTGGGGAGGGTATGGATGTGTGTGGGATGTGGATGGATGGGGTTTGGAGGTGGGGGATATGGTGTATGGGTGGTGTTGGATGTGTGTGGGAGGTAGAGAGTGTGGTATGTGGGGGATGTGGGGGTGTGGCACCCACATGGCAGGAAGGTGCTGAGTCAGTGCACTACCTTTCACTTTCTAGCTGCTCTTTGGCTTGAACTTGCTGAAGAGCTCCCAAAGAAGGGTTGCATCATTCTTCAAGGTGGCTTTTTGACAGCCCCTCTGGGCTCTGAAGGCTAATGCCAACATAACCACATGTGGTAAGAACCAGGTCTTAAAGAATTCAACAGCAGCGCTGCCCCGTCCCTGATGCTACCGTAATGCACGCTGTCAAGTCAAAGTCTTGACAGTCCTTAGCACTTAACTTTACCACAATCTCTTCCATGTTGGCAGGACTGTTAAGGAAACAAAAAAACTTTAAAAGCTACTTTAGTTCTCAGCCTCCCAGGGGGCCAAAATCAGCCATTTCCCATACAGTACATGTTGACTCACTAATAGGTAAAATGCTGAAATCACCTGAGCTACGAAGAGTCTGCATTCCTGCCTCAAACTGCTTACCACCTTCACACACAAAAATCACATCCGTTGGCCATCTCCAAAAAATTTCACTCTCTTTCAGTTTTGACATTTGGCACTTGCCTCTTAGGACAGCACCTATGCTATACCTGGGAACATCACTATGAGGCACGTCCTGTCCACTTGCTTCTACTCCATGTGCACCAACTCTCACGAACAAGGTAATGCAAACCCCTCAATGTCAGCTTTAACACAGGCCCAGTGCCATCCATAGGTTGGCTGCCTTGAGCATGTATGCTGAGAGCTCTACCTCATTGCCAGGATTGGATCCATACAGAGTGGGAATGAATGAGCAGGGCAATCTTGGGTGCAGCCAGGATTATTATGCAGCAACTTAAAATGAATTTGCTTGAAGTCTGTGCCATTAGAATGCATGGTCTTCTGGTAGGCCGCTGTCTCTACCTATTCTGTAAAATGTTTGACATACTTTGGTGCTGAAAAATACAGTAGTAATAAATAACTAGGCAGTTTCCCTAGTGGCACATAGTTTTAATTTACAAATGCTGTGTGGTTTTATAGCTTTTTAAGTAAAAAATAGCCACTGCTGCTGGAACCCAAGTGGAAATCAGTATTTGGCAGGAAATTGGATTTCTGACTCTTCTTGTCATCTAAAAGGTGCTTGTGGGAAGGGAAGGATTTTCCAGAGCAGGAGATACAGGAAGCTTTTTTGTAATCAAGCAACAAGACTCTGAATTCAGTTTTTTTAAACAGAAGTAGCAAACGGCTGTTGCTGTAGGCAATTGCAACTGGAGACATACAACAGCAGTTTCCTCTGACTAACTCCTCTCCACTTACAAAGAGCTGAGCTTTCAATTGCGAGTGGACTAATTGCACCTTCAAGAATATGTGCACTAGGATTAGTATTTCTGAGAGCCCTACCTCATTGCCAGGACTGGATCCATACAGAGTGGGAGTGAATGAGCTGCAGACAGTAAGGAACCAAGGGCTTGAAGGGACCTCCTAAGTCTTGAGTCTGGTTCCCTGCTACCACAGGCAGCCACATGACCCAGCTTCTACCTTCTATGGACACATACACAAGGCTGTAACAATGCCTGGTACCCCCTGACTGTATGGCTCACAATATCCTTGACAAAGGCTGTTTATGGTAGAAGACTGCATCTTCCCCTTGCCTTGCATCTAAACCTATAGAAAATAAGGTTGAGCTAATAATGTTGCTTGACAGTTCTGAGACCTGATTCAGTGATGTAGAGAGGTGTGGGCCGTCCCAGGCTACATATCAAGTGACGTCCAAGTACCTATATTTCTTGTAGAGGTCCTACCCTGTGGCTGACAGTATTCTTAACCCTATATCTAATCCTTTGTAGCTTCTTACAAGTAATTAGCAGAGACAAGAATGGAAGATTTCAGCCCCAATGGAGTTATCAGTGAAAGTTGTAAGTGAAAGCAGACATTTATAACAGAAGCTGTAATGATATACACACGAGATAATTTACTGAGTTACAACCATGGCTACTGCACTTTAATACCACTGTGAATGCTACCAGGGCAGGTTACTTCTAGTTCAGTGAAATTAAATTTCCAGCACTAAGTACAATATACAGATGGGTGCCTCAGAAAAACTGGCTACCCTATGTCAATATCAGCAGTCTCTTCTCTCATTTTAAGGCTTAGGGAAATGCATTTCAATAGTCTGTAAGATGTCTTTGTCAAATCAGAAACTATAAATATAATGATACAGTAACTGCTGAATCTATCCCAAGACTGAAAGCCTATTATCTGCACAAAAACTCAGCACAAACAAATAACAATAGTTTCTAGACATGATACACATATTACACTTTTGGTAGGTAGTAATCCACTCGGACACCTACTCAAATGATGTCTCAGCTTCTTTCTAGTCCATCAATCCACCATCTTCTCCACATAATGAATAAAAGTTCTGTCAATGCATTTTCCCCCAAAAGCCCACAAAGACCAAAGTGTCCATTGAAAATATTATACTAGACAGATATGATAAAGTCTCTATTTTGTTTTGAGGGAAGTTGTAAAAGACAGTATGGAGCTCCTGTTCCTCTGAGACAGAGACTGCAATAGAAAGAGTCCCAGGTAGTTGAACAGGGGTTAGCTGCAGGAGGGAAGGGAACTGTAGCCGAGGTGCAGTAAGCTGCCCATCGGGATGAATGGTGACACCTGTAGATGGTCAAGAGAACACCTGGCTGGAAGGGGAAAGAGCCCAGGAAATATAAACCTGAGTTCCTGAGGCAGAGGGGCAGCGTAGCCCTTAACTCTGCAGAGAGAGGAGCTCATGCCAACTCAGACTGGGGCGAGGGAGCTGTAGGCCATGGCAGGTACTCCCAGGGCAGAGGGAGCCAGTGGGAAGATGGCCTGGCAGTCATATGATGACTCAGAGAGGACCTGTTCTAGTTTATACTGAAGGACTGGAGGTGGCTATAAGGGGAGGGCAGGAGGCCACAGGGGTGTCTGAGGGGCATGCTAGGTTGATCTCTGCCAGGGGCAGGGGTGCAAGGGACAGGCAGGCTAAGGCCAAGAAGGTCAGGGCCTGAGCCCAGAGATGGCAACAAGGGCAGCCAGGGGCCCACAAGAGGAAACAACTGGAAAGGCCCAATGGGCCTAGGCTACCAGTCAACAGCCAGAGTAACCTGTAGGCCAAAGCTAAGAAGGCTGAAGCCTATACAGGAAGCCAAAACGGTAACTGAGTGACATCTGCAAGGCACAGGCGTGGCTATGGGGGTGGCAGGACGCCACAATTAAGAGCCCTAAGGCTTAAATAAGGCTACAGTTAGACCTAGATAGGCTACAAGGATGGGCGGAG